GGCCCCGGCACGGCCCCGGCACGGCCCTGGCCTGGCCGCGGGGCGAGGGGTGCGCGGCGGCGCCAGCGATGAATGAAAGTTGCGGGAGCGCGGCGGCGGCGGGGGAGGCAGGTCCCTCCACCCCGGCCGGGGAGTGCCTCTCCGTTGCCCTCTCCGCTGCCCTCTCCGTTGCCCCCTCCACTCCACTCCGCTCCAGTCGCCGCCGCACGGAGCGCGGAGTTGCTGCGCGGAGTTTGTCATGCAGCCCTGCCCTGCGCGTGTCAAGCGCTCCACGAGGGAGAAGGGAGAGCAGGGAGCGGGGCCGGGGTTCGTCGCGATGCTCGCGTGTGTTTTAGCTGGAGAGGAAGGGGGCCGAAACGTTGCCGGCTGCACTTGGAAATATCTCGGGTACCTCACTGAGGGTCTTGGCTGGGAAAGAGGATAAGCATTGTCGTGACATGTTCTTTCATTGCAGATTTAGTATGAAACACACCAGAATCTCTCATATGTTATTTTCGAAAATAAAATAAAAAGGGCAAGTGTTATTCCATATGTTAAAATATATCAAGTAGCATTAACACTGCTCCTTTAGAAAACACCTCCCATATAAAAAAAAAAAAAAATACACAAAATGTTCTAAATAAATTTTCCCAATGTCTTGTTTATGGTCAGTGTATCTTCAGCATTCCTAGGAAAATACTTAGTGAATCTTAACATTTTAGCTAGTTTTGTGCTTCGTTGCTTGTGAATTCAGTTCCATGCGATTTTTAACAGCTCTCAAGACTGCAGTAATAGGTGAAAGTGATTTGTCTTTCATTAGACGGCAAACCCCAGCAGGGATGACTAAGCCTTCAGCAAGGTGCAGTTTGGAAATGCTCAAGGGAGTCTATCGTTTCTTCCATATGGCTGGGTCCAGCTGAGTCTCTTCATCCCTGGGGTCTCTGCTGCACAATCCCCGCAAGAGGCTTACTGTCTCTTTTTGCCCGTTACCAAGAGGACAAATTCTGTTCTCAGAAATGCTATTCTAGAGCCGAGTTAATCTGCTGAAGTGRAAGCCAACAAAGTTACTCCTGACTTCTCTTACTGTAGAATGTAAGCCCAAATTAAAATTGCTAAAAATGCACATGCCTATAAAAGCTTTATAGTTTCGATCCATTTGTTTAGACAATGCTCAGTACACATGATTGTTGCACTGTTTTCAAATGCTGATAATGGAATCTTTGGTCTTACAGAGATCCAAAGATAGTCCAGTTTTTGCATTAATACAGGAAGGAGAATTCAGTGAATGTAAGGGGTGTACATCTGCTTCCGTGTATAAATTTCTTATCACTCTTTTATCCCATTTAGTTGTTGTAAGTCTTTACAAAGGATTTCAAAAGGAATTTCCAAGTTTCTAGCAAGCAACGGAAAAGAAAAAAAAAAAAAAAAAAGCCCTTATTCTAACATATTGCTTTTATGCCTGTACTAAAATCCTCTATCATATAACTCCAGGCAGACAAAAACCAGAAAATACAAATGTTAACCATTCCGTACTTTTCATAATTTGTTTCAAGTTCTAGCAATTCACTTAGTGCTGCAGAAGACACAAAGAAACAATGAATCTTTTTAATATAGTAATTCTCAGAAAATCTAAATCAATTCTTAGAGCATTACATGTTGCTGAACTACTTTATGCAAACCTGATTCAAAATCTAAATTGGTCTTAATTTAATATACTTTATTTTCAAAGAGAAGTATACTAAGTATAAGAAAGATCATTTTTCATTCCTTTTGGGGCGGTTCATTGATTTTTAACATGTCCACCTTTGAAGCATACCTTTCAGTCATTCAGATTGATTTTCCTGAGTGTTTTGCCTCCCAGCATATTGAAACTCTCTCTTTGTGATCTAAACACTTCCGTGGGAGAGCTCCCAATGTCTGGATTTGTCCGAAGACGAGGCCTGTCAGATGCACTCTGGTATCATTGCTGGAATACGAACCTCATCCTGCAGAGCACTCTGTGGCTGCAGAATTAACTGTCAGCCACTTCCAAAGTTTTGAGGGAAAATATTCCCATAGAGGAGGAAGCTGGGCAAAAATTTTAACAAGAAGATATATTAAAAGAAAAACAGTTAGAAATATTCATCAGTTGAAGAGCAAGAATATTGCTACAGCTATTTCAGATAATTCTGACAGCAGCTGAAAGCAGTTTTCTTTCGATTTCTTTGTACAAAATTCCAGTCTTTGAAGGGTAATCTAAAGGGATACTCAAAAAGCTAGGAAGATCAGAACTATTAGCATACAGAGATCAAAGTCAGTAATAACAGGTAACATCTTCAGAACAGGATCCAGAACATCAAAAAATAAAAAGCTGCTACTCCCAGCTGAGGTTGGTGACAGTGACTATGGCTGTGCACAAAGCTCTGTGTAGATACATCTGACTGAGCTCAATGAGCATAATCAGCTCTGTGAACATCACTGTAGCTTTACAAGGCCAGCATGCCTGAAACATACTGAACCAAATGACTCATCAGTTTGTAAATAACTGAAGGTCAGTAAGATGAGAGAAAAATGGCCAATAGAGGTCTATCAAGAAAAAAACGTTGTAAACTAATCGGTTTTCCTTCTTTGACAAGGTAACTAGCTTCTGGGTAAGAGGAAAGTATGATGGATGGTGATATTAGCAGGCCATTTGCCACCATGCACATTAACATTCTCCTAAGCAATCTACTTAAATATAGTCAAAATCTAATTGCTGGAACATGGACACTTAACTGGGTAAAAAAAATCCAAAGCCTATATTCAGGGTATGGTTCATGGTAAATCTGAAAGTCTAAAGAAAGTACACTCTTTTAAAAAGCTGTTAAGACTGTTATGCTACTGAATGATTCCATTAGTGATGGAAAATTAAGTATAACTTTTAAACAGATGAAACTGAAATGGAAATGGATACGGAGCTTGCAAAGCAGAATGACAATTCAAAATTTGGATGAAGTGGAGAAAACACACGTAATTAGTAAATCTTAAGGAAGACGTGAACATAACATTGCATTCATAAAATAATTTCAAATGCATAAATGCAAAATGACTAGCTGGGCAGCGGTATTCCAGAGAAAGCTATGGAGATGAAAATGTACCATCTTAAATTCTTGATAAACGAGATTCCATTTCAGAAAGGCAGAGATCACTCTGATGAGGTATATATTGCATAGTGGGGGTAAGTGTTCTTGATTGCTTACTGATTATTAAAACTTCATATAAACTTCTGTCAGCTTTTATGAGTAGGATAAAGAGTTCAGTTTTGAGAACCATTCCTAAAACACACTGTAAATAAATGAGAGACACTTGAAGGAACAAAACAAAGAATATAAATTTAAACAAATATGAACTATGAAGAGAAGTTTGAAAAAGGTGAAGTTTCCTATTTTGAAAACAAACATAAAAAAACCAAGCAAAAAGCTGCACCCCAAATCAAGCAGTCAAGGCAAAGGAAAGACAGGGTAACACTTTCACTGTTTAGAAGGTTTTCATAAGCAGCACAGTATTCAGTTAATATTGACAACCAATAAAAGGGCTTAATATTCAAGATAAAAGGTTTATGAATCAGGAAATCTGGCAGTTAAGAAGGGTCTGTAAACCAAAAGAGAATAATGATTTTTTTTTCATTGTCCCCAAGCCAAATTTATACCGAAAATTTTAAAATAGATTAAGCATATACTAGATAGGAATTATCTAGATGTATTGTCTTTAGTGTCTGAGTGCAGACATTAGATAATTGTTTTTGCAGAT